AAAGTACAATGACCTCTAGAAATTCCTCAACTGTCTACAGAAAAATCTGTTTTTCCGTTAATCAGCTGTCGCCCCCATTAGAACGACAACTCTCAGAAGTTGACAAACTTGTGCGAGCTAAGGACTAACGAGGTCTTACCTTTCAACGTGTGATTCCCAACACGGTTGCAGAATCATCCCAGCTTCAACCAGATAAATTTTCTCGAGAAAAATATCTGGTCGAGGCGTGAATCGAACCCACGGCCTTCCGATCGTAAGTCGGGCGCACTACCACCGCGGCCACTTCCAGCCAGAAAATAGTATATTTCGCTTAGTAGATATATCTGGGAAGATGTAAAAGATACAGCTTGTGGAGCCTCAAGAGGAATAAGTTGCCTCAACCATATCAATCATTAAAAGTTCCAAAAATCAAATTAATAACAATTACTTACTCTCTATACTATTACAAAACTACCTAAATATTAAGGGTAAACTCGTTTCATAACAATAAGTACTTTTACAAAATATTTGTGTAAATGTATCATTTGTACTATAGATTTACCTGATTTACTTGTATATTTGGAAGTAGTATCACAATGTTCAAAAATCATTACTCCTGATAAGAAGTTACACTATTTACTCATACAATTACTATGTAACAAATGTCCTTCAACGTTATGATGAAAAGTAAAGAAAGATATCTTACAAAATCAATTTCCTTTATAGTTCAAACTAGGTATGTAATTTTCATAGTCTATAAAGTAAGACCTCGTTAATCCCTAGCTCGCACAAGTTTCGACTTCTGAGGGTTGTCGTTCGTTCGTGAAATTAGGGGGCATGTTATCAACATTCAATTCATATGCCATAACATCGCAAAATCGAACTTTTTGAATTAAAAAAAAAGACAAAATCGAACATTCATCTTAATAACACTTAAATAGCTGTTCGAGTGATTAACTGTCATTTTGACCACTCGCCCTCTAGCGCCCTCTGTCACTGTCGCCGATGTGGCTTTTCGGGATTTTTGTATCCCAGTTCACACGCTGAGAGCTGAGAGTGTTATTTCGGAACTATACCATAGCATAGGTAACATTGTTACTTATGATGTGACTATACAAAGAAAGAACCAAAACAAATTATTTTTCAATTGAAATCTTCAAATTGTATTTAATTTTTCCTATACTGTTTTGTTTATTTATAATTAGCAAAACAAAAAAATGTCAAGATCAGATGTAATTCCCACGTTGACCCTTGATTTAGCAAAGCAAATATTAACTAAAACCTTAGAAGAATTACAAAAACCAGATAATGTACAAAAATTGGAAGAAGCAAGAGACAATGTTGGAAATGAGATGTTGAAAATGATGCAATACCTTTTTCCAATCGTTATGCAAGTACAAATGGAAGTTCTTAAAGAATTTGGATACCCCGAGGGACGAGATGGTATTATAAAATTTTCTCAAATGCTGAGAAATTTTGAAAGAGATGATAACGAAATTGCGAGGATACACGGCCTGATAAAAGCATTCTATTTACCACCAGTATCTGTCCATACAACAAACGAATCGCCCAGTGACGAAAAGTCAAGTAGTTGATTTTATACTTGTTTTTGACTGCATATAAAAACTCATCTATACTGGTGTAATCCCAATATATTTATGAAAATTCATTTTGAATTTCTTGTAAGTGCTATACCTACACTTTGAACTCCTGATTAAATTCGGTA